GGCGCTGGTTCCTTGCAGGTGTGGATGTGGTCTGGATGTTGTCCTGTGTCCTGTGGTCTCTATTTTAGGAAGATTTTTCTTTGTTATATTTTCATAGCTCTATGTGTTTTTGGGAGGAGATTTCCACTGCTCTACTCACTCCGCCATCCTCATGTCTTCCCTCATTTTAAGAGAAATTTTCTCATCTTTTTCCAGTGCTACATGTCTTTCTCTATAAGTTCCATTTTTAACTTCCTCTAAGCTCCCGTTTATTTACTTACTGTATGTTCAGACTCTATCATCTAAGTAGTTTGTACTTGCTCTCCTAAATACAAGTGTGTCTTGTCTTTCACTTCCATGTTGTGGAGAAGAATTATTCTTATTCAGTCTTGCATGGATTTTGTTTTCCTTTCTACTTAAGTGCTGGTAATACCTGATTTATCATTCACCCAAAGACGCTAGGCCTCTCTTGTGCTCTGTTAAATTTTATTGCTGTCAGACAGGCACAACTGAGACCTGCTAGTTCTCAAATCATCCTTCATGATAGAAAACACAAGAGAGATTTTAATGAGTTGTTTTGTGGTACTAATAGCAAATAATTAAAGGACAAAAAAATAAGAGAAAATAATTTCAAAATGAAAACATCAAATAGATAAAATGGGTGAAATGAGATGAAATGAATAAATGGGGAAGAAAATAGTGGTGGATAAAAAGATAGTAGAGAGTAAGAGAAAGTGAAGAGAGAGCATAATATAACACAAAACAGAAAAGAGTAGGAAAGAGAGAGAAGATGAAATAAAAATGTCTGTTAATATGAAAATGAGGAGAAAAGAGATGAGAATTAAGAATGACAATGACAGTATAACTTGCATGCTTTTAGAATTTCTTAATTAAAACAATTTTACAATTATATTAAAAGTGATTAACTTAAGACCTAGTGAAATTTAACAGTGGCACAAGACCATGACAATAATTTTAATTATTCTAGATTAAGATTATGAAACGTGAGAAATGGGTAGGGGTTTCATCTATGAAAAATTCAATGAAAATATTCAGTGAAAGAGAAGAAATGTAGAAAGCTAACAGGAATATGAATAAAAGTATATTATTCTATGGGATAAATAATTGTCAAGAAATAACAGATTTTGTCAAATTGCAATTATTACTTTCACACACTGAGGTGCATCTACCATACTGAAAGAGAAAGACACAAAAGGTCTTAGGGGCATAGAGTCCACTCTGTTTCTTTGTCTGACCGCTCCCAAGATGTTTATGCACTGCAAGAGTCTGGGTAATTAAATTTTTTATCACATAATCACAATGACTTAACTGAAACAAAGGAAAATTGAAAAAACCTGTAGAAACGTAAGCATGCCTGTGGATAAAATTGCAATATTTCCAGACTCTCTCACCTGGCCTTAGTGCACGTCTGTATCAATAGGTGACTACAAATAGGGGTGGAGAGCTAGCGTGCATGGGGAGAAGAAAGGTTAGGTGGGGCCTTTCTGCACCCAGGTTGTGGGACAAGGGCAAGCATAAGTAGAGGACTGCTTGTAAGCAATAAATGGGTTTCTCCCACTTTATTTCTCCCTTTGATTGATTTTGGCTTCAAAGGTTATTTGCCCCTGGCTGGGAACATATTTTCCCCATGGAATTACAGCATCTTTCAAGGAAACTTCAGAGTCTGTTGCTATAGAATAAATAAATCATTAACAGGCCATCTCTCATGCATATTAGGAGATTTTAGTGAAAAAATTGGTGTGGAAGCTTTAAAAATAAAGGTCTTCTTTGAGCAATTGCCCTAGGTGGGGACAGTAGTGGCCCAAAATTCTTAGCCTGCCATACCTGGAATAGCGTTTCCATCCTACAGTGGTGGCTGGGCAAGTGGAAAGGCCCAGATCCCTCAGCCACACTTGCCTGAAATAGCACTTCTGTACACAGGTTGGGGGAATGGAGATGAGCCTGTCCCTCCCAGGGAGAAACCAATTTCCTAGTCTGCAGACTGGGGGAGAGAGAGGCCATCTTCTTGCCTGCAGCCACCCATAGCAGCACTTCATTACACTAAGCTGGGGAGCTGGAGGAGTGTGGCCCAGGGGCCCAGATTCTTGCTGTACTTGTTACCAGCAGGACATGTCATGTTTTCCTAATTCTTGTCTTCTCAAAAGAAAGAATTCAATCAAGAGACTTAGGACTTAGGACATTTTTAAACAGCAGGAGTCTATTAAGCAAAGCATAAGTACACTCTCAAGAAGGGTGGAGAGCTGGTGTCTGGAAACCAGAAGCAGGATTGGTATTAGTGAGATTGGCTTTGACTTTTTCTTAAGAAGGTCAGAAGTCCTGCTGTGCATCTATGTCTTTTGATTTACAGCTCTAGGTTGTATAACTTTTTCTCAGTACCCAGGCTCCTTACCCCTAAGTACCTATGAGAAGCCTGCAGGGGGGGCCAAAACCACAGTGCTAATTTGATTTAGATGTTATTTTAATGAGGTGGGGTTACTTTTGGACAAAGTCTTCTGACCTTGCACATCATGCTCTGTAATCAGAGAAGCACCTGTGTTCTTGGGCCTCTTGACAATAGAGGTGTCCTTAACTGTCTGGGCCTGCTGATAAACTAGGCGTCCCTGACTGTGGACCTGGGAACTAAGGAGGGCTTAGGGGCTGGCCAGGGAGAAGTCGCCCTTGGTGATGGGCTGGCCCTTTTGTCCTGCTTATGTCTAACTGCCTACTATAACATACTTAACAAGACTTCACAGATTTCTATGAGTATATGTTCCTTCATTTGCTGCATGCCCTTAAGACAACTTCCAGAGACTTTAAATGATTATTTTTTAAATAATTTTCACCACTTACGGTGGTTTCAATGGGAAATTCAATGCGGAAATCCTCACATCATCCCAATACTTTTCCTGTTTATATGTACATTTATCTTTCCCTCTAAAATTTCTATCTGTGTTGCAATGTAAGTAAAATGTTGATTTTATGCAAATAGTATAAAATATATTCATAGATGCACATAACTTACAAATAACTATATATAAGGTTGCTCAGAATACTTTGACCTGATAAGGTGCTCCTTCAAAACCATTTGGAGACTCCCTGCCAGGTACACACTCTTGGGTTTTTCCATACACTGCTCTGGATATATTTAGCTTTTCCAGCAGGAGAATTATGGCAAGTGCTCTGGCTCCTCCGTGCTCTCACCATCTGTAGCATGAAATTGTTTCTGGTTGTTTCTTTCTAAACCAACAGAAGAGAAGTCTTGACTCTGAGATCATTTGAATTTTGGCAAGTAAAATACATTAATAACTTTTAAATTCTTCCACACAAATAAACTGCAACATTACTGGAGAATATGGATATTTTTAGAGCAATAATTTACAATGCTTTTCATTATGCTGCCTGTGAAACAGGTAGAAAAATCATTAATACATCTTTAAAAATATATCTCAACCTACATCAATCTTATTTATCCTTGTGAGAGTAAGTTGTTTTAAAAAATAGATGTCACTATCACCTGTGTGGTAGAGAATAGTGAAACTTTATCTAAGCGTTTTCTGGGAAGTTGCCTTATCCCCTTTAGATTTCTACTTTTGAAAAAGTTTGTTTTAAAAAATATGTAATGTAAAGGTTGTAATATTTCTGCCTTGCAATTATCCATTTTGTTACATGAAAATAGTTTTAAATAGTCCATCATCTGCATGTTTCTACGTGTTTTCAAATATGGGAGCATGTCTCCATTTAGGAAATAAGACGAATGATCCTTTCAGGGATGTGTGTGCCCATTTCCCTCCTCCGAGCAACATTCATCAAACATCGTCAGATACCCATACCATTCTCCAGACACGGAACTGAGAAAGCCAAGTCCCCTCTCTGGTTGAAGGCTGCCCAGCGCACGTGCAGATGTCAGCCAGCAAGGGCGCGACTTAAATACACAAGCACTACACAGGACACTTGTGTGTCTTATGATCACAATTAGACGAACCTCTTTAGGCCTTAAAAAAAATGTAGAAAAGCAGCTTTTTAGAAGTAATGGACCGGCACACACTATTTCAGATCCTGACTCAAAGAGCTAACGTGCAACATTATTTTTGCCACAGCCAAGAATTCCAAAGAACCCTAAAGGGTGCCCCCTAGCGGCAAGACAAGACTCTTGCTTCTCAGGCGTGTCTTGAGAGAAAACTGCTTCTGAGGCCCCAGTGGCTCCAGGCTGGGTGGGGGTCTTGCAAAAGGTATTTCCCCGCAGGGACGCCCTGAAGCGCCGGGATTGGAAGGCGCCGACTCTCCTAACCGTGGGGGACCGGGACCTGAGGTGGGGAGATGCTGCTCTTCACGAGGGCGCCGAGCCCAGGTGCGCGAGGCAGACGGGGCTGGCGGGGAGACACCCCCGCGCACGGGGCAGAGA